AATAAATGTATAAAACATGTGCCTGCCCCTCAGTGCACACAGCACTAGATGACATTCAGAGTGAGTGCTCCTGATGACATCTGTTCCATAAAGCTTGGAGACAATGGATCCCTGTTACTCTCTCCTTTCTTTTCCTAGGTTCTCATGGCACAACTCAAATGTTTCAGTTCTTCAAAGTTGAGGGGACTGCCATTTTACCTGATCACTGGAAAATGTAGCTGCCTGCTCCTCTCCCTCCTCTCCCTCCTTATTGTATTCTCATTCTTCTGACCGGGATAACAAATGCATAAACTTTATTAAGAACTTCACAATTCAATGGGAATAATTAAGCGTCTGCTATCTGGAATGATGGTCTGTAAACTTATAAGGGATTAACCTTTTCTAACAATGGTATAGAATTTTTATTTCAGAAAAATCTGCTTTGTGAAATGTTTTCACCAACTATCTGTCTAAATCCCTAAACTGTACCCTGTACTTATGAATTTTATCCCCCTTGCCTCTCCTTATTATCTTCCATTATGTGTCACGTGGTCTTAATAAGTATAAAACAATTCCACCCTATACTTTTGATTTTCAGTGATAAATTTTTACTGTGTAACGGGAATTTGTTTTCAACATTACATGCCCCACATACATGGTGTCTGTGCTTGACACAAGTTAGAATTATTGTAGAAGAAAGAACCTCAATTGAGAAAATGCCCCCACCAGGCTAGCCTGTGGGCAAGCACCTGGTACATTTTCTTGATTGATGATTAATTTGATATGGGAGGGCCTAGCTCACTACGGACAATGCCACTCCTGAGCTGGTGGTCCTAGGTGTTATAAGAAAGCAGGTTGAATAAGCTATAATGAGCAAGCTGGTGAACAACACTACTCTATGGCCTCTGCATCAGTTTCTGTCTCCAGGTCCCTGTCCTGAGTTCTTTTCCAAACTTCCCTGGATGATGACCTACAAGCTATATGGTGAAATGATCCCTCTCTCCACCAACTTACTTTTGGTTATGGTATTTATCACAGCAACAGAAATCCTAACAAAGACAGAAATTGGTACTAGGTCATGAGGCATTTCTTTGATAGGCTTGACCATGTGTTTTTGTGGAAGGACTTTGAAGCTTTCGGCTGGAAAATCCATAGACTGTTGATATCTTAGTGGGTTATTCTTTGTGATCTTAGAATATAAAGGTGAGAGCAGTGTAGAGGATGGACATAACACATGGAGGTCCAGAGGAGAATCTGAGCACCCCTTAAACTTTCTATGAATTAAGAACACTAAAGCAAAACCTTTGCCTTGTAGGAACAATTAAAATCTGCTGCCAAGTGTTTTTCTTAGGTTCAACACACTGACACTGTGGTCCCTGCACCTCATGCTGGTAGCCAAAGTTGGTAGCCTGAGAGTCTCTTAGGTAGTACTGGTTTTGAAAATATGAAAGGGTCATGGAGTACAGTTATGGTTTGGCATCGTGTGGTAGGGTTAGAGTCCCTGCAGAGAGCCAAGGAGAGACTACAGATGTTAAGATACAGCACAATTGCAGTGCAGATCCAAGCAATTTGGAGATACCAGTATAATGGGACAACTACCAAGGACAGCAGCTGCTGTGGGATGAAGCCAGTTTGAGCCTAGAATACAGCTGTGTGAGCTATGGACAGCTTCCCAAGGCCTGTGGAGGGGCCAGAAGTCCATTAGTGAGTCCCAGAAGTCTGACACTGACATTTACAATATTGGACTTCATTGAACTTGATTGCCACTGTGTCCTGGTTTTCCCTTTTCAAAAACGTTAGAAGGCCAGCTTCTAAAATTTTCACTCAGAGTTTAAAAAAAAAAAAAAAAGCTACAAATAAGGGAAGGAACCAAAATCTGACAGAAAAAGGAATTAACTCACACACAATTATGCCCCTTATTCTTGTTTTACTCCCTTTCTCTCTTGCTGTCATTTGTTTCTCTTTTTCTCCATTTCTTTGTCTTTGTTTTCTGTTTCTGTCTCTGTCTCTCCCCAGTTCTTGGGGGTACAGGTATCTATACATTTGCAACATTAATTCTTTTTGCAATTCAATGTGAAGCTTGAGTTTCTCAGGGTCAGCAATGCAGATAAAATTTACACAGAGAGCAATAAACTAGAACTGCTAGGAGAAGCTTTTAGTATCAATTGTTTAGGATTGTAAGTCAAATAGAGGGTCTTAGTTTAATTTGCACAAGAAACTAAGCCTTTCAGTACTCTGGTCTCAGTGGTGGCAGAGGCCTTCAGGAAAGCTTACTTTTCCCTAAGGATGAGCAAATGGGATGATTACCTTCTCAAGAGAAAGCAGTAAATCTTTGAGCTAAAATTTTGAGTTAATTCAACAAGAAGTTTGAGAGTCTTTTAGTGCATGGTTAATTTATGTTATCACTTCTCTATCTGCCAGTGAGGTAAAATCATGGCATGCTTTTTTTTTTTCTATCCATCTAGGCAGCTATGAATTAACAACTTGGGTGTGTAGTGATTCTATGTCCTTGGATATATGGGAATGTCTTAGACTGAATGCTTTTGCCTGGGTTCTAAACACTCATCAAATGCCTTCAATAAAAGTAATTGCAGGAAGGCAGATCTCTGCAATTGCAATAGACGGGGGAAAAAGGACCTGATAGAGGGAAACAGGTCTTACATGTAGCTAAGGAGTGTAATCAGTAAACTGGGACCTATTAATGGAGAACAGGTTTTACATATAACATCAGTAAATTCCAAATGCATGGGGAAATTTGTTCCCAGTAAATCATCAAATAGTGCTAAATAAATTCCAAGTTTGTTGTAGAAAGGAATAAACTATAGGAAGAATCTACAGCAAGAAACAGCCAATTTATCGACAATATTATAATGCCAAGTACAACGTTTGTACTGGTTCAATCCATCAGGAGAATTCTTAATTATTCTGAGTTATCTTGTGATACAATGACTGTATAATTACTGTGTGATCTTGAGGCTTGTAGCATTCCCACAGAAGATGTGAGTGATTTACAGGGACTTTGAAGTTCTAGAAAGAGGATGGGTATTTATTTATTTATTTATTTATTTATTTATTTATTTATTTGGAGCGATACTTAAAATGTTAGAGAGACTCAACTATTTTGGAGAGGCTATGAGTATTTTAGGGAGAGTTAACTTTTAAAGGGTGGAACTTTTAAATTTTGGAATATATTTTATATTGTGGTGTTGATATTAGTAATGATAGCTTCAGAACGCCAAGAGATGAAAGGTTATAGTGTAACAGTGGTGTGTTTGTGTGTCAAGTTGACAAGGGGTTAACTATGCTGACTTTTTTTTTTCTCAAGTTGACACAAATTAGAGCCATTTGGGAAGAGGGAAACTCAATTGAGGAAATACACCTACCAGACTGGCCTTGGGCAAGCATATGGTGTATTTTCTTGGTTGATGATTGATGTGAGAGGGCCCAACTCACCGGGTGCAGGTCCTGTGTTGGTAGTCCTGGGTGCTTTAGAGGACAGACTGAGAAAGCCATGAGGCACAAGCCAGTAAGCAGCACTGTGCCATGGCCTGAACATCAGTCCCTGCCTCCTGGTACTTGCCATAAGTTCATTTCCCAACTTTCCTGGATAATGGACTATCAGTTGTAACATGAAATAAAGGCTTTCCTCTCCAACTTGTTTTTGGATATGTTATTTTAGTTAGTCAGTGTCTAATCAAATAAACTGCAACAATTCAAAAAACATACATACCACATTTTTAATAAAAACTTGGAGTTGGCATATCTGGAATCTGAAAAGTATCATGGCTCAGTTAAGCAGAGAGGGAATCTTAGACTCCTATGAAACCCATCTATCAAGACTGAGTTGGACCATTTTCCTTTAATTAATCCCATAAAATGGGATAGGATAGCCCTGGATCTGCTACAACTGTAGTTCTATTTACCCCTTGACTTCATGAGCTGAAGGAGAAGTAAGTAGAATATGCTCCTACTGAGCTTACATTTTGCTTCTATCATCGAGGCAAGAGATTAGAAACAGGGAAGGTGCAATTACAGAGCAGCGCTCAAAGCTGAATTGTCCATCAGAGTTCTCTGCAGAGGACCTCACCCAAATATTCACTATTTGTGATTATCTTTTATCTTCTGTTTCAGGCAGGAACAGAGCTGATCAGCCACCGTGAGTGAGCTGCTTCAACTCTCCCACACATCAACATAAGGCACTGCATTAGAGAACCAGCAGCCAGAACACTGACAGACCATCATGTGCTGGAACACTGTCGTGTTTTGTGTGCATAAAGCATGTTCTTACACACCTAGTATCTCCATGACACAGGAACATGACTGTCCATATGTTCCAGAGGAGGTGACTGGAACTCTCCCATAGAGAGTGCTAAAGGTCACACTTGGAGGAAACAGAAATCATGGATGGAATATGAAATATTCTGGATTAATAGTTCACAATTCCCAACATTTGCTGTAGAAATATATTAAGAAATTTAGTTCTAAAATAAAATAAATAAATAAATAAATAAATAAATACAGCCCTGAATAGAGTAAGTGCATGCCCGACCCATGGGTCCTCTGTCATTGCAAAGAGCTGGTTTCTTCTTTTCCACAACCATCCTCATTCAAACTCATCCTAAATAGTAAAACTGTCTATAATGTACCTGGCAAGCAAGACATTGGGAATGAAAACCAAGTAAGATGCTGCTCCCACTTGAGTAAAACCCAAACATGGGAAATATGAAAAGACATCATTTCGGATGGATATAGTTTTTAATGTTGAAGGTGCTCATACACAGATGCAGCCACCATGGGGCATAGGCTCCATCCATGACTCTAAAGTTTAGGACAAGTAATAGCATGAGGATGGTCTGTGGCGTGTAAAGTGGAACTGAGATCTTCAGTGGAATGAAGTGTGTGGCATCTGCATGTTTCCCTGAGGCAGCAGAGCTGTCTGGGAGTGGTTCATGGGGTTGTGCTCATGATGGATAAGTCATTGTTCTACTTTTCTACTCATCCACTGTTTGTTCCCACATAAGATGAATAAGAACAGCAGACTCCACACTGATTCCAACTTACAGAACACAGTTTTCTCTGAAATTGGCATTGGAATCTTGGCTAACAGCATCCTGCTTCTCTTTCACATCCTCAAGCTCATTTATGGGCAGAAGCCCAAACCCATGGACCTGCCCATTGGTTTCTTGGCCTTAATCCACCTGATTATGCTACTGATTACAACAGTCGTAGCTACAGACATTTTTATTTCTTGGAAAGGATGGGATGACATCACATGTAAATTCCTTGTTTACACATACAGAATTTTTAGGGGCTTCTCCCTGTGTACCACTAGCCTGTTGAGTGTCCTCCAGGCAATCATCCTCAGTCCCAGAAGCTCCTGTTTAGCAAAGTTCAAACATAAGTCCCCCTATCACATCTTACATGCCCTGCTGCTCCTGAATGTCTTCTATATGTTGATTAGCAGTCACCTCTTAGTATCGATTATCGCTACACCCAATCTGACCTTATATAACTTTATGTATGTTAGTCAATCCTGCTCAATTCTACCCATGAGTTACCTCATGCAAAGTACATTTTCCACTCTGTTGGCCCTCAGAGAAGCCTTTCTTATTGGTCTCATGATCCTCTCCAGCGGGTACATGCTGGCTCTCCTGTGCAGGCACAAGAAGCAGGTCCGGCATCTCCACAGCACCAGCCTTTCTCCTAAAGCATCTCCAGAGCAAAGGGCCACCCAGATCATTCTGGTGCTCTTGAGCTTCTTTGTGCTGATGTCCATCCTGGACAGCATTATCTCCTGCTCAAGAACTATGTTCCTGAAAGATCCAACATCTTACTATATCCAACTCTTTGTGGTCCATATCTATGCCACAGTCAGTCCTTTTGTATTTATGAGCATGGAAAAACATATAGGTAACTTGTTGAGGTCCATGTGTGAGAGGGCGATAAATGTTTGTATATTCAGTGGTGGATAAGTTCCTTTAAGAAGAGCCAAAGTGCTGGCATTAGAGCTGTCAATCATGGCATAATGTCTATGTGCTTTGGTATATATGAAAATGTGAAGCTATATTTTTTTTCTCTTAAAATTATTTACTTTAACCCATATGGTGGAAAACATGTAACAGGAAATTAAGCCACATGCCCATATGGTATATGAGATATGGTTATGTATATCTCATGTTATATATAAGGTATATGATATATAACTTTATATATATATATATCAGCTTATATATACATAACAATGAGTCTTTAAGGGAGTCCTATGAAGTGGCTCTTACACATCCCAGCCTGAGATAGCCCATACTCATTTTAGTATGTGAACATTTCCAACACTTTTCAATATTTCAACTTCCTCTGCTATATCTGTTTTTACAAATAAAATAAGAAAACATTTCTTGCTATAAATAATCATGTGACCCGAAAGAAAAGGAATTACACACATCACTTTCAAAAGAGAACTGTGCAAGGAACCACACAGTGACTTGTACAGCAATACTAACAATAACAGGATTTAAAATTCACAGAGATGGAAACAACTTTCTAGAATACATATGACCAGAACACAGTTTCTGAATGGTATGGGACACTGTTCAGTCTTAAAGTTCAGAGCAATTCCAGTAGAGGCTGCTGAACTTTTGAGCCCTGAAAAACAAGAAACAGCCACACCGTACCGGTCAGTTCTTGAATTCAAGACCTGACCCACATCTCTTGTGAAACCCAATTGCTCCTCCCTCCTCTGCACTATAAATGGCTTGTGGTAAATTCTGTTGCTTGGGCAAACATTTCTGCTTATTACTCAGTTTAACAAACTCTATTAAGGAAGCTTAATAAGCCAACCAAATATATGTCATTCAAGATTGCTATGCAGGGGCCACAGGAACAGCTTTTGGGCCACTTTTCCATGGGTCTATTGTTTCCATAAGATAAATGCTTCCTAGCTTCATCTTGGGTGTCTCATCCCTTGGTTGTTTTCTGCAGCAATAGAACATATACAAACCATGAAGTTGTTACAAAAAGTGAGATAACTCAGTGAGAGAAACACAAGTATTATGTAGATTGACTGAGAGAGAGAGAGAGAGAGAGAGAGAGAGAGAGAGAGGGTGGGACACACAGTAGTTAGACTCAGAGAGACAAAACACAATGCCATTTTGGAGGTTCAAGAAAAAGAGCAAATGGAGTTTTTTTTTTTTTCTTGATGGACAGAATTTCAATTCAGGGGAAACAAATGCTGTAGATATGTGTAGTTATGGGACACAATGCTCACTAACACTCAGTAGTGTGGCTAGAATGTTCAAATGAAATCTTTGTATGCTTTGTGTGCTTCCTCATAGTAAGAGAAAGACATTATCTTCATGTAGCTATCCCAGCATTCTCTCTAGTCCCCCTGAGGTTCAGTGGATAAAGGCTTCACTGCAGAACAAGGACCTGAGTTCAGATATCCACATAACACCAGACAATGAAGGACTAGGCATCTTCCATCCCAGAGTTCTTATGGATGAGGGAGCAGAATTCACAGAATCTCCTCTGCAGTTAGACTGATCCATACCAAGGAGATGACAAGAGACCCAACCTTAAACCAAGTAGAAAGTGTAGCCCAGCATAACAGGTTGAACTCTGACCTCTGCATATCATGAAACATCAATGCCTATATTCACAGACATGAAAACACACACACACACACACACACACACACACACATACATTAAAATAAAGTTAAAAAATAACAAGAATGTAAATACACCAGAATGTAATTATTCTATAATAAAATCTTGTGACAAATGTGTCCCAACCATTCATTTGAAGATTGCTCTCTGCTGGTCCAAATCTTGCTCTCAGTCTCTCCTGGAAAAGCAACATCCTTTCTTGCCAGCACCATGTGTGCTCAACTCTGGCACTTGACCACATATGTAGCTGCAGTGTTGTGAACTCCCAGGGCAAAATTTTCTGTGATTGCAAAACTTCAAATGTAAAGAGCAAATCAGAAACATGAAAATCTTTTATATTAGGCAATGCCGTAAAGCCATGGGTTTGAAATATGCTTTGACATTAGACATCAAATCAAATACCAAATCTTGTCACATGTGTGTTTCACATAGGTGAAACACTTGGCATTTTAAAAGACCAATTCACAGAAATGTGTCAATGCTAAACTCACATTCCACACCTGGAAAGTCACTCTTTTTTCTTGTACATCACCAATTCAATTTTTAGGATTTTTACTGAAGGAAATAACTCAAACACTGGGTGATGGCAGGAGACAGACTGGCGAAGATTAGGTTACATGTACTTTCTCCATGTTTAATGAGTCATGTTGCCTGACAACACATTACATGCCAACAAAATGAATTAGGATTTAACAGCTACAAGTACTGAAATGTCAAGAGTGATGCTGGGGGCAGGGGAATAAAGAGAATCCAAGACCCAGTGACCTCAGCCTAGCTAGCATTGGCCAGAATACTTATGCCTCCTCTGACCTGCAAAGGGTATTGAGAAATGTAGTTTTATGCTCAGTCTAAGTCAGAGAACATCTGTATCATTTCGGCAACTGATATATCTCACCACAGCTTTGTCTTCAGTGATAACAGTCACAGGTACTGTCTCACAGATATCATTTACAGTGTCTACCATGGACCAGGCACACAGCTTCCTGCAGAGTGTCTCCTGGTGAGGATACACAAAGTCAGGTTCCCAACACACAAGTAAAGGTAGGACATGTATGCACATGCTTATAATCCAAGCACCAAAAAGGGGGTCCTCACTGCCCTGCCAGTCTAGTTGAAACAACGATTCTCAGGTTCAGTGATTCCTAGGCAATTACTCTCAACCTTCCTAATGCTGCTACTCTTTAATACAGTTCCTCATGTTATGGTGACTCCCAGCCATACTCTCCTCCCATTGTCAGAAAGGACCCTATCCAAGAGCATGGGAAATCTTTAATTCAATTCCATAGATCCACATGTCTGTTTTTATGCCAATACCAAGCTGTTTTTATTACTATAGCTCTACAGTACAGCTTGAAGCCAGGGATGGTGATAGCCATGGAAGTGCCTTTATTGACAAGAGATACCATAATAGAGGGAGCCATTATAAGTTTAAAAAGAACTCTCACTCTAGGGAAATGTCCAGAGACTACAAGGATGACCCCAACTAATGATCTAAGCAATAGTGGAGAGGCTACCTTAAATGTACTTCCCCGATAATGAGATTTATGACTACTTTATATGCCATCCCAGAGCCTTCATCTAGTAGCTGATGGAAGCAGAAGCAGACACCCACAGCTGAGCCAAACTCCTGGAATCCAGTTGCAGAGAGGGAGAAGTGATGAGCAAAGGGGTCAAGACCAGGCTGGAGAAACCCACAGAAACAGCTGACCTGAACAAGGGGGAGCCCATGGATTCCAGACTGATAGCTGGGAAACCAGCAAAAGACCAACCCAGACTCCCTGAATGTGGGTCTCAGTTAGAAGACCTGGGAAGTCTATAGTACTTCTGACAATGGAACCAGGAAGTATCCCTAGTGCAGGAACAGACTTCAGGATCCCATTCCCCATGGAGGGATACTCCCTTAGCCTAGAGACACGGGGGAGGGCCTACGTCCTACCCCAAATGATTTGACAGACTTCAATGATCCCTCATGGAAGTCCTCACCCTCCCTGGGGAGTGGATGGGGATGGGGTGGGGGTGGGGTCTGTGAGGAGCATGAGAGGATGTGAGAGAGAGGAAACTGGGATCGATATGTAAAATAAAAAAATATTTTTAAAAAAGAACCTCTGATAATTATGTTTTTCCTGAAAATTGTAAATCTATGGTTAACATTAGCTGTGAGACTCAATATCAACAGATTCTCAGCAGCAAATGAGTTTCTTACAGAAGTAGGAGTTAATGCTCTAAGGTTTCCACCATGGTTGGAAAATAGGTGGATAGTGGGTGGCAAGGAGGACATGAGGACTCTTATTGTTGGAGAGTAAAGAAACAAAAACAAAGTTTAAAACCCCAATTATGCTGAACTATCACCTGAGATATAAATATGAAAGCATGCTTGTTTAAATAAAGATATAAACGGACAAATATTTGAATCATTTAGATATGTATGCATCAAAAAATTTGGAGGCAATGTGCCTTCTTGCATTACCTAGCTCTATTCTATGAGATGTGCTATAGGGAAAATGGCTAGTACTCCCCAGTTCTCAATCCCTAAATACCAAAACCAGTGTGTACTGCCTGCAAAATGAACTCAAGAGAAGTCCCAGAGTTCGTTTCCCAACAAAAAACTGATGTAGCGCAGGGCATGGTAGCTCCTGCCTAAAATCGCAGCACTTAGGAGGCTGAGATGCAAAGATCATTTATGAGTGCAAAACCACCATATGTTTCAGAACAGGGAGGGATATACACTGATATTCTGTTGAAATCAGTCAACCAATCAATCAATTCTGAAGGTTTCTAGACAGCCAATTTAGACTAATTGGTGAGCTCCAGCCCAAAGAAGATCCCATTTCAAAGGAAGTTAACAGTTCTTCAGAGGAAACACCTGAGGCTGTCTTCTGGCTTTCGCAGAGATGTACAAAGACAAATGACCCTTCCTGCCCCCAACACATGCAAATCCCACCAAGATACAAGTATCTGTTGTCTCCAAGGAATACATTTAACTGACAAAGACTTGGGCTAAAGATATGGCTCAGTCATTGAGAGTACTTGCTGCTTTTACAGAAGACTGTCAAATACCTGTAACTCCAGATCTGTGGATCTGCTCACCACTTCTGACCTGTACAGGTACCTGCACTAATGTGGCATATCCTCTCCCATCCACACACATACCATATTCAAATACAGAGGTAAGACTGGAAAATATCCACAGCATGAGAGTCAAATGATAGAAGTCAATTTATTAAGCAAGCAGAAGATGAAAATAAGCTGGTGTAGCAATTCTGGTATCTAATAAAGAAAACTTC